ACTTAATATATTCAGTATATTAATTCTCTGGGAATTTGACAGAGAATTAGAAACTATAAAAAGAAAGAAACAGAAATTCTAGAAGTGAAAAACAAAAAACACTAACTGAAGAACTCAAGGAGTTTAACAGATCAGACCAACAGAAGATAGAAATACTGAAAGGGAATAGGAGCCAAAGTAAATACATCCAGAACGAAGTACAGAGAGGTTGAAGGGTAGAAAATAGAGACAAGTGAACAAGAGACACAAAGTAAATATACATTTTTGGGATACTTTTGGGAGTGAAAGGGCATTATTTAAGGTATTTAATCATGCCATGGCAACAGGTACAAAATGAGACATGAGGTTGAGACATTGAGGACACAGAGAAAGGTCTAACATATGTATAATTAGAGTCCCAGAGAGAAAGAGAAGAAATAGTAGGAGAGAAGCAAAATTAGGAAATATATAACAGAATTTTCATGTGAAGGGGTAAAGAAAAATAAAGTAGATAAGTACGGTCTAGCCAGATTACTAGGGAGTCATGAAAGTCAGCAAAAGAGACTCTATTAGATTAATAGGGAGTCATTGTAGATTCTCCTGTAGGTAAATATTTAGGGATATCAATTTGAATATAGACAGGGAGAGATGAAGTAAAGGGACTAAGAAGCAGAGAGATCAGCAAGGAAGCTAGTTTAGCAATATCAGCATTACTAAATTAATGTGGGATTATTTACACAATGGATTAAAGTGACAGTCAAAAAAATGAAGGGCAAATAATTTCGAAAAGACAACTGAATAATTTGGCAAGAGATCATATAAAAATGACTGTAGATAATATCTCTAGCCCTTAAAACTGAGAAGTTAGCATCAATTACTGAAAAAGTAATTTCTGTGTTTTCCAACTTTTAAAAGTTTTTTTTAAAAAAAGCAAGATTGGTTTAATATTTAAAAGGAAATAGAATTGTCTAAAGTAACAAAGTAGATAAGAAAATACTTAATCATCTCAAAGAAAATACTTAATCATCTCAAAGAAAAAAAAAATTAATTCGATGTTGACCCATGTTAAATTTATTGGTGAACTATGAATAGAAGATAACGTCTTCAACTTAATAAAGTACATTTGCAGAAAACCCACAACTAGCTGATATTTAATATTATGGAATGCTTTTATCCTATGATTAGAAATAAAACAAAAAATTTTCACTCATACCATTTCTAATCAAAATAGTACTGTGATCCTAACCAGAAAAGCAAGAAAATAATAATAATAAAAAAAGACATAAATATTAGAAAGGAAAAGCTGTTGTCTTCATATGCAGACAAACAAAACATAACATAGTTTTTTAATGTTTTGGATTCAGGCTTAAAAAGCTCAATTGGTAAATTAAGAACAATTCACACAAAAAAGTTAAGCACAAGTTCAAGTGCAAACAAAACAGTAATTTTCCCACTTTCAGGCATCAAAGTTGTTATTAAATTCTAAAATCTTTTTCTGTTTAGAAAGTTCTTTGTAGCAAATGAGAAACAGAACTGGAAAGCTTAAACAACTGAAATCATCTTCTTACCTAAAAGTTACAAAGAAAGCTTTGAAAATAAACACATAAACTTAATTTAAAAAAAAGAGGAAGAGGAAAGAAAGGAAAAGAAAAGAAAGCAGAAGTGGCAATATTTATAACTGAATTCCAGGCCAAAAGTGATGAAATGAAAGGAGATTAAAAGGGATACTGAGCAACAATAATCTCTGAAAATATAATAGCCATAAACCTTTATACATAAACAATATAGCAATATAATACATGAAGCAAAAATTCCTAGGAGAACTTGATAAAACTGAAACTATACCTGAAGATTCAACACACCTATTTGAAAACTCAAGCAGATATAAACAAAAACATAGAGGACCTGAATAATAAAACCAAGTCTAATGTATATAGGGCAAGTCACTCAATATTTTTGTAATTCACATTCCTTTCGTATAAAATGTTGATAAATAATAATGCCTACCTCATAGAATTGTGGTGAGGATTAAATGCGATAGTTCTTATAAAGAGTACTTGCCACATATGAGATTCTCAATAAAGCTCTTAGTTATATAACTTTACCTTTCACACTATTCTCTCAGATTCAAGGACACTAGAAATTGATCATGTTCTCTTTTTTTAATTTTTATAAGAGTTTATTTGAGCCAAATTGATGACATACTGTGGGGAGCAAATGATCTCAAATGCTCCCTGATCATGCACTTGACTATAAAAAACAGTTCCAAAATGTTATTGCCCATAATACAATAAATCAGAAATATACAATAGTTACCCACATATACATTAAGAAGCTTTTTAAATAAACATTGAAATAAAAGTCAGTTACAAATTATCTAAAATTAAAGAAATGGAGAATATTTTGACAACAAATGAGATAAAGCAAAAGGAGAATTCAGAGGAAAATTTACAGCCTTAAATGTCTTTATAACTTAAAAAGACTTAAATAAGTATTCAGTTTAAGGAATCATAAAGTAAAATAAACCAAAAGAAAATAAGTGGGAATAAAGATAAAAGCCATGCTTAATTAACTAGGAACAATTCAAAAACCAGTCCAAAGAATAAGGCCAATATCTGGTTTCTTGAAAATTCCAACAGAAACAGATGAAGGGGTAAAAATACCCTTACGCTTATATTTAAAACAGGACATCTAAATCTCAATGTATTTCTTAACATAATCTCTCTCCTAATAACCTAATAGCTGTAGGCGGAAGGAATTGAGGAGTAGAGGGGAGGAACAAGACTGGAAAGACTATAAAATGATTTTAACTCTATATTTCTTTCACATTTGTATGAATCAAAAGTCAAAAGTAAAAGCAGTATTTCCCAGAATAACAATACTAAGTCATCACTTCTATATTTTCTTTATTTATCTGTACTTTTACTAAGAAGATACTGGTGAGGGACAGTCAACTGTGCTGTTAATTGAGCTGTTTTTCTAAGCAGTGGTGGTTCACAATCTTATCTCTTCTCTTGTAACCAAGGGCAGATGGGGGACACCACTAGAGCAAGACAAATTTCCTGTGTCACCTACACTGGCATTTAGAGAATTTCTCTAATAAGCTGGCCCACATTTACTTTACATTTAAAAACAATTATTTAAATTTAATCTTAAATCCCTTTAAGGATTTAAAATCCTTTAAAGATTTAAAACCTAAACTTTAAGAAAAGTTTCTGGATTCTCCAGTGCAAATAGGATAAGATAATCTCCTTTGCATAATTCTTGGTTACAGTGCCTTTATCCTATCAGGGACTGCTTGCAGTTGTTGTTCTCCACAATTTGACAGAGAGGAAGCAAGGACCAGCAACTCTATACATCCTTTCTTTTATTAAAAACGTTCATGAAAAAATGATGCCTTACAAAAACTCACCTTACTCAGCTCAACATTTTACTCAAGTTGGAAATTACTCCAAATCATCCACACATAGTTTAGGTAAGCTCTGTTCAAGAATAAACTTTTAGTAAAGTATACATACTTTAAGGCTCTCAAGTCAACATACAAGCCAAAAAAGCCTTAAGTAAGCAATATGGTAGCTTGAAAATTAGCTGAACAGCCTGCATTTTTTATTCACTGAGTCTCTATACTTTTCTTCCATTCAAAAACAAAACCAAAAAAACCTTAAGTTGAATTATAAAGGGTCATATCAGTGAGGAATTTTTTAAATGTATATCCTCTAATCTAAGCAGCACTCCAATCAGTGTTATGAATGCAATTATTCATCTCTTCTATAATAAAGTAAAAAATATTTTAAAAGAAATATTTAAAAATGAAGTTTTAGGGATATCTAGGGATAACTAAGATTAAATAACTTCCCTCCAGGTAAAAATTCTGAAACAAATACCTTCTACTCCCATTTGAGCAAAATATAATTGCAGAGTATTCGGAATGTACCTTATTGAGTGGCTGCAATATATTCTATTGTGGGTGCACTTTCCAAAGTCAAAATTATCCTTGAAAAATCACTTACTTAGTAGCACTTGGGTCTTTGGAAGATCAAAAGTTAATGTCTTAGGCTATTTTTTGCATTAAGGCTATGGATATCCTGCTCTGAGTCACAGAAGTCATAAGCTAATGCAGTTGGGGATAGAAAAGACAACGAGAAAAAAAGAGATGTATTGCTCCCACTTCCATACAATTCCAGTATGCTTATATAGTAGGGTTCCACTGTGCCCAGCTGATTTAGTCCTTAAATAAAACAATTTGGAGTGTTTAGTAGCTAAAAAGCTGCATTTTGCTTCAATCTTAATAAGCACTCTTTAAAAAAAAAATACGAATATACAAGAACTTTTAAGTGTTAAGTACAGTAATGAAAAACCCAGTGGTTTGCAATTTTTATGAAAAGTAAATCTCAAAAGTTGCCAGAGCCTTCTTAATTTTATACCCTAAGGGGCATAATTTGAAAATAGTACTTGAATTAACTACATGCATCTTACTATACAGACCAATATATGTGACACTTGCTTCAGCACTTATTCATCATCCACTTTGTATTAAAAATGTTAATTCAGGATTCCATTCCACAACCATTTATTTACCAGACTTCTGCTCAGCTGAAATTGGAGTTGAAAACAAAAAACTTGTAATTTAGTTGGAGTCACAATATTCACACATGAAAAGAACTAACACTTATAAAACACACAAAAACCTGGAAGTTAATTTAGTGTAAAGGGAGGGTCTGTTGTTTCTTATTATTGCACATCTCCTATTGAAGGTGTTCCAATAAATTCTACCACCTTAGGAGATGAGTTTTAAACTAAATATAATGAGAAAATAGGTGCTTTTTTTCTATAATAGTCATTTCTTCATATTCCCTCTTTTCTCTCTCTCTCTTTGGCAGTGGAATGTCCAGAAGAGGAAGAAATATTGAAAGTAAAACGTTAAGCAGTTTGACTAGGCAAACTGGGAACTAACTGACTGGGAAAGTGAAAACTGAGACGAGTTAGTAGTGATGAGCCCAAGAAGGTGCTTAGCCACTTACCCAGAGATTTACTTAATGAGAATGGATCGCAGGTTTCCACAGGTCGTTCCACTGCCAGTAAGAAGACAGTCGTGAACCTTGGGTCCCTTTTTTCACTAGTCAACAGTCACCCTCACCTATACGCGAAGTACATATTTGGCACTCAACAAATCTTGATTGAATGAAAACCTACCTCACTCACACTGGTACCCAACCCCGGAGTTATGGACCTACAAATTATCTCCAAAAAGCCTTAGGACTCAACCCAAAGAACTGAGAAAGTAGAGGCGAAGGCTCTGGGGATCTTTGTTATAATTGGGAGCAATTAAGGGCCAATGAGGCCTACACCAACCCGACTCTCCAAAGATAGCTCAGGAGACTGAACTGCAACTGGTCGGCTTCAGCTTCCCAAGGAGGTACCCGACGGGCCGCAGATCCACAGCCTCCCACCCGGGGGCGCTGAGAGATCTGGGGGTGTCTCCTCTAAAGTTAGTACCTGCGAAGCTGCGACACAGACAGTGGCTCGGGGCTCTCATTACGGAGGCCGGGGCCTGGGGCCGGCTAGCTGCGCCTCCTAGCTGAGGGTTCCGCGCTCCGGGGCTGCAGTGACAGCACGGGTCGCGAATAGATACTTCACGCCTCAGGGGTGGCTCGTGGCTTTTCGCTTTCAGGACTGAGCGAGATGTCGCACTCACGTCGACTGGAGCTCCTCGAGCGTCGCCTTACTGCTCAGGCGGTCACTCCTGCCTTAAGCCTAGCAGCCGGTCGCTTCCCGGCGCCGCCATCGTTAGTGTTTGTTTTCATCCGCCTCGGTGAAGGCGGTGGGGTGGAAGAGGGCTACGGCGGAAATGCCGCTGTCTAACCTCGGCCGCACTTTCGCTACACATGAACGTCCTATTTAATCTCTTTCCTCTTCGAGATTTCTAAAAAAGTTGACTTCCTTCCTGTATAAGTTTTTCTGGTCAATTTTTTTCAAGCGTCTAAGAAAAGAAAAACGTAAATAAAGGGGTCTTTAAAACAGAGAGGACTTTTGGGCTGCGTGTGGAATGTGCGTCGACGAACCTGCGGTCGCCGCGGCAGAGACAGCGAGGACGCGGCGTGGGGCGGACGCTGACGCAGAGGGGCGGTGCCTATGCTGAGCGCCGTGGCGGCTCGTGTGCGACTGCCGGTTCCGGAGGAGGGCAGGATCCGGCTGGGTGGGTGGGGAGTGCGGCTGGTAACCTGGTAGCCTCCGAGAGGTGGGTGACTGGTCTTAGCTGACCTTGAGTGGCTGGCGCAATCAGACTTCCGGAACATTTCGTGTTCCGTAGTTAAGGTGCCGCTTAAAAGCGGCGGAGTCGCCTCCTAACCTTAACTGTCCCATGCTTTTCTTCCGCGCCTTCCTTCCTTCCAACCTGTGGGTCTTCCCTACTTCCTAGTCCTCACGAGTCTTAGAGCACACAGACTACGTCCATCGGGCCCGGTTGTGGGCGGTGTTTTTGCCCTTCCTACCTTGTTAGACTGGTTTGAGCACCTCTCGCATCCATCCTATACTTATCAGGTGGAGCCGGAGGGCTTTGAGTAACGAAACCCGCAGTGACTAAATTCCTGCCCTGGGTGGTTATGACCTATGTCAGCTGCTTCATGGCCTGGATAGTTAGGAGCAGACCTCTTTTACTTTGTGGATAATTATGCCAACACTTCCATTAATCTTTTGCTCTTCTCAGTGCAGATGCCAGGCGTTAAATGAGCCACCGAAATTCAACTCCCGTTATCCTTGAAACCAAAAACAAGACTGTCTTGTGCAGCCATGAATTAGTGGAGAAAAACCCAGAGTTACAGGTATAGAATCTTTTGCTTGAACAAAATGGAAATTTGAGAAAAGGAATTATTGTAGCCCTTGAATCACTTTAAAGTCTTCAGTTATGTTTCTAATTTTTTTTTCTTTTAATTTTTACAGAGAGAAGATTATAAATGCCAGAGTCATTTAACATGGTTAGCTGTTGAATTCTGACATTTCTTTAAATACCTTCTTGCACCAACATCTTCACTGGAAAGAGTTTAGGAAAAGTAGCAGAAGGAAGGAGAGTCAATATTTACATGGACCATGGCTATACCGATAACAGTGCTTGACTGTGATCTCTTGTTGTATGGCCGAGGTCACCGGACATTGGACCGTTTTAAACTGGATGATGTGACTGATGACTACTTGATGTCTGTTTATGGTTTTCCTCGACAGTTCATTTATTACTTGGTAGAGCTCTTGGGGGCAAGTCTTTCTAGACCTACTCAGAGATCTAGAGCTATTAGCCCAGAGACACAGATCCTTGCAGCACTGGGCTTCTATACCTCAGGTTCCTTCCAGACTCGGATGGGAGATGCTATTGGAATCAGTCAGGCATCTATGAGTCGATGTGTTGCCAATGTCACCGAAGCACTTGTGGAAAGAGCCTCACAGTTCATTCACTTTCCAGCTGATGAAGCCTCCATGCAGGCTCTGAAGGATGAATTCTATGGTTTGGCAGGGATGCCAGGGGTAATAGGGGTGGTTGACTGTATCCATGTGGCAATCAAAGCACCAAATGCTGAAGACCTCTCCTATGTGAACCGCAAAGGTCTGCATTCTTTAAACTGCCTGATGGTGTGTGACATCAGAGGGGCACTAATGACTGTGGAGACAAACTGGCCAGGCAGCCTACAAGACTATGCTGTGCTGCAGCAATCTTCTCTTAGTAGTCAGTTTGAAGCCGGGATGCACAAAGATAGCTGGCTGCTTGGTAAGTTTGTAGGGGAAAATGCTTATTTTGTAGCCATAGAAAAATTATGTAGCAGAGTAGAATGAAATATGGCAGTCTATAGACTTTAGTCTCAGTCCTGTCCTTTTTTTTTTAATGAGACCTCAGGTGAGAACTCTGAGCTGTAATTTTTTAAATCAGCATTTAAAAAATATATTAAAGTTTAAAAGTATATTATTTGACCCAGATCTTCTAAGAGTTTATATTGGAGGTGCATGTTCATAAATATGAGCATTGGTGATGTAAAACAGAATTACATATAAGAATTTTCATTGCAGTACTGTTTGTGGTTGAAAACCAGAAGCCTGCAAAAATATTCCCTTTAAATATAACCAAATACTTCTCAGTAGATCTGGCTAAATATAGTACATCCATACAATTGAGCCTTAATTTTTATCATCTGTAAAATGGTGAAAAAAATGTCAACAGCAGTAATACCTATTGTTAGGGATAGGTAATATATAGGAAAGTTCACTATAAAGAATTGTATAAATATGAGATATTATTTTGCCATTGGTGATTGTCTCTATATGAAAAAGATAGTAGACACACAGTTGTTATAGGAACTCACTTCACAGATCTGCCCAAGTGCCATTGGAAAGACAGGCATAGTGATATGAGTAGGACAAGGACCCATTCATAGTGAGCCTTGCATTTAGTTAACAGTGATAAAACCCTTGAGCTTGGCAGCTTAGTTTTGTTTGCTTGTTTGTGTGTTTTAAAGTACTGCTCTGATATGAGCAACAGGAGTTATCTTGTATACAACATATGTGAGAGATGATACATTAAGGATTGGAAGAGTTCTCTTTCAAAACCACTAATCATATGTGCACTGTACATATTCATAACACAGTGTTTAACATGTAATAGACACCCAGGAATTATTTCTCTTTAATGGGTTTTGTTGCTCTTTAATGTTCTCACTGATTCATAAAAGAGAAACCTCCCTGTCAAGTGGGAAGAGACTACTGTTGCAATGATTGGTTTGGCGCTGCCAGGGTGCCATGTGTAACATCTTGGAACTTAGTGATTTTCTTGAGTTGTTGCTTCTGCATACCGTTTGTTCCAGTGCACCACCACCTTTTCACTTTACTGGACTTTTATCTTAATCCCACCTTGTGCTTACTTTGAACTTTCAAATTTCCTACAACTTACACCAAGAAGTGAAGGAAAGTCTGTTTTGCAAGTGTCTCTTCTAGCTACTTCTTCCACAGCTGTGAGAGTACTTGAGTTCCAAGCTCATTTCTTGTGAAATCACTTTGGTACCCTCACTGTAAAGGCAGCTAAAATTTACTGAGCATTTAGAATTTGTCAAGCAATGTTGTAAGCACTTTGTATTGAGATCCTTATAAAAACTCTTAAGGAAGGTAAATACTAATATTAATATATTTACACATGAGGAAATTAAGGCACAGAATATTTAAGTTACTGTGTTCAAGTTTTAAAACTAGATCATATGAGGAGTTATTTGGCAAATACTCTTTTTTTTCAGGACTTCAAGGTCATGTAGGAATTACTGATTTTCTTTCTCTTCACATCTTGGGACCCCAGATTCAGTTGGAATCATGGCTTTAAAGTAGTTTTTGAGCTGTTTACAGGACATAGTTGAAAATAAGTAAAAACTCTGGCAAATTTTTATATACATTTCTGATTCCCCTCTTTACAGGAAGCGTAGAAGTGGGAGAGATGGATATTGCAATAACATTTAACAAATGTTTATGAAGGCCAGTTTTGGTACCAGGCTACATGTTAGGCACTAAGGATAGGGAAAATAGACTCAAGTAGAAATTGATTTCCTTGGTACTGTCAGTTCTGGTACATACCCATTGGAAAGCCTCCATGAACTCTAACAGGAAATCTAGTTTGAAGACCCCTGAACTAGTATTGTGTTTTGCAAATTTTTCAGATCAAAAGAGTCATCTGGAGATTTATTAAAAATGTATATCACTGGGCCCCACTTCAAACTTTGGGAGTGATAATTTTCAAGGAAAGAATCTAGACATCCATTTTTAAGAGGTGCCCTAAATGATTCATCCAAATACATAAGTTTGGGAAACACTGGTCTTTAGAGAATGTGTGGACAAAGGGGTAATGTAGGGGAAGAGCAGCAGGATTATGAGGAATGAAAATATGTTTAAAAAAAAAAAAAAAAGATGGCTGGTTGTATCTTGACGCCATTAGATTTGTGGAATAGTTCTAGATTTGCCAAATCTATGATTGGCTGTGATTCCCTTTTTGTTTGTTTAGCATATTTTACTGTGGGGGTCATCCCTTCATGTCTTCATTCTCATCTGTCACTTCAGAGTGCATTACCCAATTCTCCATCTCTAAATATACCTGTTCCTGCAAACAATTCAGCCTGAGTTATTTCTTCAGCTCTTGGTTTAGTCTTGTTAAGCAGCTTTGGTAAGATCTGCCAGAATGTCTTGTGGATGACTGATCATGTAAGCAATTGTAATCTGTTTAGCAGTTCTGATCCTAATCCCCTCCTGAGTGTGTCTGTCTTCCAGTAGTGTTTGGATTGTAACCAGTTATAACCAATTAATGACCATGAAGTATTTTATAAAAGTTCTACATTAACTAGTTTGTTCTGTATGTCTCCCCTATTTAAGGCCCATACTGTTTCTCACAGAAACATTGGACAAATATCATTTGGTATCTCTTTTACAGAATTACACTATTGTTTTTGTGATTCTGAGTCTGATATTAGCATTAGTGACTAGCTTCTTCCCCTTCCTTTGCCTGACATATTAAAGGATGGCTGACTATTTTGATATTCTCATTTGTAAAATGAGTTCAATAATATCTAACCTGGCAGAATTTAGATTGGATAATAAGAGAGAATATTTTTAAATTACCCAGCACAGTGCATGCTTCACAATAGGTATTCAATGAGGCAAAGGTATTATTTTCATTATTAGTTACAACATCAATTATTTAAATTTAATATTTAGTAGAAGTGAGTTCAGTTAAGATATAGGTTGTACTTAGGACAAAAAGGAAAAAAGTCGACCAAATTAAAATTAGAAATTATTATGAGACTTCTTAGATATTTCAAGTATATCCAGTATACCTGAAACTAATGTTGTATGTCAATTATATTCCAATAAAAAATTTTAATTGAAAACTATTAAAAACAAAGTTAATCCAGTTCTTGGAACTGTAAGCTTCTAAAGGAGAAGAGTACTATATGTTTTGGAACCGTGCCGAACCCTCTCTGAACAGTCCATAACTATTTACTGAAATTGCTGTTGGGTCAGGAATACAGCAATTGTGCAAGTTGGTACTCCTAGGGCCTTTTTGTCTCAGTTCTAAGAGGTTACGCTTCCACGTGAGACATTTTTTCTGCCAGGAGTAGTGAGTCAGGACAATTAAACATTATAGAAACGTCATACTGTTGTGTTAGGACATTGTACCCCAGTTTTGTGTTTTGTTTTAGCACTTCCCAGGATCATTTGATAAGGAAGTCACTTAAGGGAAATGTGTATTATTTTAATTGATTTCTGATTTCATTTTCTCATCACTGACTTACTATTTGCATCATTATATTAATGTTCTTTGTTAATATGAAATTCTACCAGTTCCTCTGTTTTAAAGTCATTGTTTCAGTGAACGTAGTATTAAGGAAGGCAGAACACATGAATTCTGATGTCTACCACAGATGCTGGCACTTTTATTTTTCTTAGCACTGGGAGAATGAATTATCTGAAATCCCCAGGTAGTGCTTTCAGATCTGACATTTTTAATGGTAAAGTTAGAAATTGTTTTCATAAATGTTTTTGAGATCTTGTGGCAGAATTCTCTTTCTCTTGTGCACTTTTGCTCTTTCGAGATTTTGAAGATTGGCTTGCTATGGGATAGTTTTTACTAAACTTTTATTATAGAAAAATATCTCTGAGCTCAGAAAATCTAGGAATTTTATTTCCTCCAGAGCCGTATCCTTTCAGACTTGGCTTTCTTTAGCTATCAGTCTTTTTCTCTGTTGGTTTTAACCAAGAATGGTCCCAGCAAAAATTCATGCCTACCTGCTCATGACTGTGGCATGCTTTCTCTTCACCACAGCATTCCCTTTCCTTCTTGATTTTTCTGGTGTGCTTTGGCTCCAGAGGCTGTTGCATTTTCTCGTTCATTCTCTGTATATATTCCTGGATTTTCCTTTTTGTTTGTATTCTAGTTATAATCACTTGTAATTTCTTTGGGCCTTCCCCACAGGTGACAGTTCCTTCTTTCTCCGTACCTGGCTCATGACCCCACTTCACATTCCTGAAACTCCAGCCGAATATCGCTATAATATGGCCCATTCTGCAACTCACAGTGTGATAGAGAAGACTTTCCGAACCCTCTGCTCCCGATTCCGCTGCCTGGATGGATCCAAGGGGGCACTGCAGTACTCACCAGAGAAGTCTAGCCACATCATCCTGGCTTGTTGTGTCCTCCACAACATTTCCCTGGAACATGGGATGGATGTTTGGTCCTCTCCAATGACAGGACCCATGGAACAGCCCCCTGAGGAAGAGTATGAGCATATGGAGTCCCTGGACCTAGAGGCTGATCGTATCCGTCAGGAGCTGATGCTCACTCATTTTAGCTAATGTGGAAAGTGGAGAGGAGGGAAACTTTCTAGAAAGAGTTGTGACAAAGTTCCTCCCTCGTCACCCCCTACACAGTTCTATCATTTAGCATGACAGTGTGTGGACACTTGTCACAAATAGACATTTAATCCGTGTGTTTTACAAAGGTTGGAGCTATGCCAGAATATCTTCATTCATTTGCAATTTTATTAACTAAACCAAAACCAAGATAACTCTTCCCTACTATGCATTGGACTCCAGGTTGAGCGCCACTCATCTGAAAGCTCACTGGTTGTAGATATTTATGATCATACCTACAAAATTAAAGCAAAGGGGGAAATGGTATCTAGCCAGGACACCCTTTTTTGTTTGTTTCAATTATCTGGATATTTCAAATGAAAATAATATTTACTTGTCCTGAATTACTTGGATAGCATTTCAGCTTTTCTATTTTGCTGCCTATGTAGGCATAGGAATAATCTGAGACAAGTGTAAAAAGTAAATTTAAGTTGGGGAATGGTCTTCTGATGTAAGTAAATGACTACTAATCTGAGTTTGCAGCTTTGTATTTTTAAGAGGATGTTAGGGACAGTCTGAAACCTCCATCTTTAGTCTTTCTGCAATAATTGTACTGTGACCTGGACTTAGTTCCTAGGGAGAACATCTGGACTCCAGCTCCTATTTCCAACCCTGAGTCGGAGTTAGATGCTAAGTGGGTTTAAAAACGCAATCAGCTTAAAGAAGACAAGTCAAGTATAGATAAAGTAGCAAGCTTACACTTTGCAGGAGATCTAAAAACCCTGATAGGTTGATAGAGGAGATTTACCCAAGTTTTGACAGCTTACATCTAAATAGGTCACATTAGATCACATTTCTTATGATTATACTGTTAGAATGTCTGGCCATTCAGCTTTGATATTCTTTATATAGAAGGAAGATTTAGAGAATAAAGAAGGCATATGAAAGTATTAAAAAGGAGAAGTAAGAAGAATATAATTTCATTTGAAATGAATTTTGGAGTTAGACCTACTTGAAAATCTTATGTACAAAGTGATGGACAGAATTTGCGAGAAAATAATCTCCCACCACGTCTTATTCTAAAATTGTACTGATATAAAAATAACCTGATTGGAATAATGAAAGTGTAAATTAGGTTCACACGTTTGTGTCATTGCTGGGACAAAAAGAGACTTTCCTGAGAATTGTCTTGTTCCCCGTTTTTCATCCACTTACTATGTGATACCTCTGAATTGTCCTCTTGGATCATTTCCTACCTGCCTTTGGCAATGTTGATCTGGTGATATTCAAAGTAAAGAAATGAACAGCTGATGACAGAGAAGTTTGGAAATAAATTGAGGGTGACTCATCTGCAAGATTAAAAACAATTTGGATTATTATCTGCTGTTTATTTCTACTCCAAATGCTATTTCCCATCGTCATCCTACTCTATAAAGAGTGGATCCATTTGGCATGAGGTTGAATTCATATGTCATTGAGATGGCAGAGGACAACAAAGAGGTGACTGAAAACTTTAGCTCTATTGTGCGGTAGAGGTGCCCTGTTATATTTTTTTAATTTGTAAAGTTTAACTTGTGACTCAAGCTTGCTTAGTCTTCTCCTTCGTAAGGCAGTATTTTGACTCTCACAGTATTTACAAATTTCCTGAGATAGATATTTTTCCCTATAAAATTTTGGTTCTGAGTATTGTATGAGGAAAGGGTTACTACCACACATATGTTATAAGTAGCAAGGTAGAGTGTAGTCTTGGGAAGTGCCTAGCATTTTAGCCTAAAAAAAGCTACATTGCAGGAAAATTGGAGTTTTCACAACTTAACTCACTAGATGGTGACCTGAAGCCTGAGTGGGAAGGACAGTGTTGGAGAGATTTCAAAAGCAATTTCAAGTCTATCACTTGCACACCGAAGATGATTTCTAAGTGCTGAACTGACCAAACATTGGCTGGCAGTGTTTTTCTCTGGAAGCATTTTATTTCCTAATAATTCTACAGAGTAACTGTTCAAATATTTTCCTTTAATCTCTTTTTGACCTGGATTTTTACAGGCCAGGATTTTTTCAGTTCACAGTTACACTTTCCCCAAAATGATCTAGGGAACGGATCAGAGTCTTTACTTTCAAATAGCCATGAATTTACTGATAGAAGCTTTTTCTACGTGTCTGAGAGGTCTCTTCTTGAGGCTCTTATTGTGGTTTTATAGTATCTTCCTGGTACAGTTTTGGGAATTTTTTTGAAAGAGTCAAGAATTTGCCTGTCTTACGTAAGCCTCATCTTCCCATAGATGACCATCTGGCCAGCATGAGTTTTCCACATTTGCCCTTAGATATTTCAAGATAGCAAAGTCCAAGGATATGTTAAAGGAAAACTACAATATTGGGTCATCACTGGTTTACTAATTCCAAATTATACAAAAGAGGGATCATAAACTTATTTTTAGTTTAAAATGAACTGAACAGAGAGGGAGCTCCTTTCCTGACCTGTGGACTGTAAGGGTCTAGCAAATTAATTTAGGAACAAAAAACAAGACACAGTTTTAATGGAGTCATACAGTGAAGATGTGTAAGAGGTAGGGAGGGGCAAAATAGAGGCTAAACCAGGTGGTAGACATACTACAATTGTATCCCTGCCTGAAACAAACTGAAAACAGCTCAAAGACCAAGCTTAGCACTTGCTTTCCCTGACAATGCAGGGAAATTGAGGATAAGGACAAGAAAATGTGAAATCAAGGAGTCTTAACCATTGTGCATTCACATATCCCCAGGGTCTATATTGCTCTCTAGATCTGACTTAGATCTTACAAAATTGTAGATAAAAAAGATCATGGACTCAGAATTAAGTAAGACTTTGTTGACTGAAAATGTCCATGCAGGAAGAAGGGTAAAATGCTCGCTGAAAGATGGGGACACCCCAGTTCTCTGGCACATAAAATTCACAGGCTTTTTTAAGAAACAACTATAATCTAAGACTCCCTTTGTGATAATCAAATAGGAGAGAGAAGATCTCGATAATAAATAGGAGCAAGGAAAGTAGACCTTGAAATCATAAATCAGTAAATTTGGAAAAGTGTTTGAAAGGAATCTCCATGTTTGCCCAGCAAAACATTTGGGAATCTATCATTCTGTTGAGACTTTCTCTCTCCCTTACATATACAGCTTTTTTTATGGAAGGGCTGATTTCTTTGCCATTCTAGAGTCTTAAAATGTTCATACATTTCAATCCATTGATAAATTCCAATACTGGAAATTTATTCTACATAAATTTTAAAAAAGAGCCTCCCAGGATTGATCTCTGAGTTGCTCCTACATCACCACACTGCTTCTAACTCTACCTTCCAGTCCGAAGTATGTACATTAGCCCATCGTATGTACAGTGCTGTGAGACCAGGCTACAAGAGAACAAAATAGAATTGCAACAGTCAAACCTACATTGGCTCATCATTTTGGCTGCTTAAGGCCCACCTCCTCTTCCTGGGCTTCCTAATAAGACTTATGGTACTGCTAGAATTACCTCATCTTAGGTTCAGGCCTGATTTGTTTCTCAGAGCCCAGAGCCAAGATAAGGAACAATCTCCTCTCCTTCTCTCCTTTCTCCTGCCTTCACCCTTCAATCTAGGCAATGTCCCCGGTTCAACATGCCCCAATCCTCTTTTCCTGGTTTAGTCTTTCCAATTCTTTTCCATGTGATTGATAGTGGCTAGGTCCATTCATAGAGTGACTAACTGTCCTGGTTTGCCCAGAGCTGTCACAGTTTTAGCACTGAAATTCCTGAGTCCTGGGAAACCCCTTAGTCCTCAGCAATCAGGGACAGTGGTCATTCTACTTCAGGGAAAACATTGTCTTACCTTTAAGGTGGTGGCTCCCCCAGGAGAATCCTATTAGAATACAACAATCAACATAATAATGTCATTCTACTCTATAAAGAGTGGGTCCATTTGAGTCTTAACACAAATATGTAGGCATCACTGGTGTATCCCGGGATGATCTTTACTTCTGCCTACCTGGTTTTCTTTTTCAGGTCTTCCTCCTGTGTAAGGAGATTCCTGTAGGTTTGAGGGTTTCAGCTGATCTCTTCTATCCAAATAGACCTCTCCATAAAAACAAGCAGTAGTGTACTGTCACATTGAAGCTTAAACCCATACTTGAAAAGAAATAGTTCTCTCAAGAAATTTATCAGCAGAGAGCAACTCTGCCTGCAGAATAAGCCATATATTTTTTAATGATTTCACTGACAATTCTAGCCTCAGCTTCTCCAAAATCTCCATTTTTAGATGGCATAAGATTTATATTTGCATCACCTTCAGGTGTTTCCCCCAGAATAAAATTTTCCAGCTTTTGAAAAACGAATACTTCTTGTAGCTTTAAAATTATTTCCTTTAGCTTTTCTCCCTGAAATCAAGGTTTCAAAATAATGTCGTTATTTGGTCAAGTCTGAATGAGGACTGTAGTTCCAGACACTTATATCCCACAATCTTCTCCAAGAAGGAAGCTTCTCTAAAGCATGTATTCTAGAAGTAGAAACTCAGCTCCAGGGTGAAAGCAAAGGAAAGTTTATTTGCCCCCTCCTCATCCAGCTACAGGAATGTGGTAGAGACTGCTTATTTAGTTGTCACCTAACATTCATTTGCCTCTGACTTTTGGTGGGTACATAACTGCCCAGGATAAAGACAAATTCTCACTTAGGTTGGCGATGTGACTAAATTCTGGCCAGTGGAATGTATATAAGTGGAAAAGTCCTGTGCTATTTTCAAGATGTGTCCTTATGGCTAGGAGATAGGCCTTTCCTCTTTCAGTCTCCTGCTGATTGGAATGTAGACATGATAACCAGAGCTTGAGCAGCTCTCTTGGACCTGAGATGAAAGCCACTTAGGGAAGATGTCAAAGCAACAACATAGAAGCCTGGCCCCTGACACTGAATGGCCACATCTTACCCTAGGCTGTACCTTTCTGGATTTCTTTTATGTGACAGAGAAATAAACCTCTACCCTACTTCCTTACTCTTTTTGTTTATGTGTGATAGGTTCTAAGCATTAATTGTAAGGTTATAACTGCCTCTTTCCAAGAGCAGCAATGTTTGGAAGCAACATACACATTCAACAATGCGGGGCATGATTAGTGTATCCTCTCATTGGAATACTGTGCAACTGTTAAAAATTAACTATTAAAGACCTTAATAGAAAAATGATATAATGTAAAACAACAACACTGTTGTATGTGTGCTTAAATTAAACTTCTAAAAATTATGTAGGGTATTTCCAAGGATTACAAGGGAACATGAACAAATTAAAACTTTGCATTTTGGAAGCAGATTATTAAATTCTTTCTTTAGACTTTCATAAATGTTGCTATAATGTTTACTCATTTAAAAAGTCTCCTAAAACAGTGGTAGAGAACAAAAGCTCAGTGTTTTGTCTTCATATTATGGATGCTGGTCTCATCCTGCATTACATATGTAAGTTGTCCTTTAAGTATTTTCACAGACCTAAGGAGATTTTTTAAAATTACAATAATTTATAAGTAAAGCTAATGTTGTAAGGATGTGGTCTTTTACTTTGATTAGATTATAAACTCTTTAAAGGCTGGGATTATCATTTTCTTTTTATAACTTTGCTCTCCAGGTCTCCTCCCTCTTTAGGAGGAGGTGGGGTAAACTATTATTGCTCATACTTGGTAATCCATATTTGTAGTGATCTATGTGATTTGTTTAATTGTATCTAGGATGTACATATCAATCTATATTTGTGCTGAGCATATTTGCCCACTGAGAGACTTCAAAAAGGGGCTCTTGTGTCAATGAACATGTCAACACACTTAGTCAGGTTTTGAACCCAGAGACTTTTGATCGTTAGGTAAGAAGCATGCCTGCGGTTCTGGGTCCTTGGAAGAACATAAAAAAAAATGTGTGTTAAAAATTTTTTTCTACCTTAGATCAGTCTACACAACCCTGAATTTTCCCAGCTTTTCCTCGCTACGATTATAGGGGCTAAATTGGAGCTTTAGTAGATTTTTCACTTTGTTCTTCAGTTTGGATTCTCTCTCTCTCTGTGCTTCTGTCACATGTACTTGTGTTTATGTATTATAATCTTTACCCTTCATTCATCTCACTGTTGCGTGAGTAAACTAACGATCGAACTTGCTCAATTGAGACAGTGTGTTGGGAGTCCATAGGTAGTCGCTGAACTATAGTTAGACAAGTGTTACTGTGCTAACTTGATCTTCAGCAGTCTCAAGAAAAACTCCAATTGTCTTAACACTTTTGCCGGCAAGCAACACAGAAAATGGCAGAAACACAGCCTCCTTTACTCCATGTCTTGTGATCTGGGTTTGTTTATTTCTGCCTTGGACAGGAGCCGGACTTTGAGTTGGAGCGGAGATCTTTTTCGGC